CTGCGCCGCCTCGGCTCGTTTCGGAAGGGCCGGGAAGGGAGAAAGGTCGTGGTGCACCCGACCCGTCTGTGACTGATCGCCAAGAACATACGAAAGGAAACATTTCTGCAGAGGTCGCTGCAGAGTGGTTTTTTTGTTTGTTGGGGTTTTGTTTTGTCCAAACTTCTCTGTGATGCGATCTTACCTGTCCCGTTCGGTAAGGTCACACCGTGAGGCCCCCGCGCCCTCAGGAAGGCTGCCATTTCACACACCGAAAATGGAAGACCTGGGATGAGCGGTGTTAGAAGGGTGAAGGGTTGTGCTGTGGAGAGTTTGTGCTTCAAGTGTATATTCTGGGCGTGTGCTCACCAAACACAAGGTTTAGATAGTGGGAGAGGAGGTGATTGGAGGGTAATTTGGAAGGAGAAAAGTGACTTGGGCAGGAACGCATCTGTCTAAGAATAGAAATTGGTCAAAAGTCACACATTAAATTGGAAGGTTACTCTCTTGTGTGAAATACCGGAATAGTTCATGTAATGCTCTGATATGAACTCGCTTTCTGTGTGCTGTTTTTCTTACACTGTGGCAAGATCTTGACAGCTGCAGACCATGTTCCTGGACAGTTTTATACCCAAATGCAGCTATACATATGTGCAGGATGAAGTTCTGTTTTTCTGTGATGTCTCTCATAAGGCGTTTGTAATGCACCTAGATTCAGATTATTACGTATTTAAGATAAGGTTGATATTCTGCAATTAGCTTGCCATCGCAGACCTCTATCTGTAGAAGTCTTAAAAGGGTGCAAGACTGCTGGTTTGCATTATATGTGACAAAGTCTGTTCAGATAGAAATAATTCACGTGCCTCTGCTATTTCAAGACATAGAGCAAAGAGGAATTTGGGGGGCATGGCAAATAAGCGGGATCAAAGAGAGGAGATAGATAAAGACTCAGAATCAGAAGGTATTGGCATAGGGCGGAATGAGAAGGCACAGAGCAGATCCTTAGGGTAGATACTTCCCTTTTGGGGAAAAAGATACTAGTGTGAGGGAAAAGTGAAGTAAGTTGAAGTTGGAGAGGTTTGAACAAGTCAGTTCTGTAACACATCCTAAAATTTAGTGTTTTGTGCAGATAGGGAGACTTCTAAATTAG